TTTGTTGGATCCTTTGGTTGCAATGATGAAAAGCTGACAAAAACAAGGGGAGGAATAAGCTACAGTATTAGAAGTCAGAAAGGCAGCTAACTTTGGGGAGAATGGTAGGTGTAGGGACCGAGGGAAATCGGCAATGTTCTGTGACATGAACAGTGGATGTTCATGACAATTAATTGAACTATACATTATACAAATTGTGTTCATTTTTCTGCATTTGTTATTGTTTCCATTAAAAAATTAAGAAGGGTTAATGAGGCTACTCACAATTTGTTAAATATTATTTTTAAACGCTTTTATTAGTACATTATAGTTATATATACTAATGGGCTTCATTCTGACATAATCATATGTGCATGAAAATTAATTTGCTCCATTTCAGTCCCCAGTGCCTCTGTGTTTCCTCCTTTCCTCCCTCCCACTGTTCCTGTTCCTCGAGGGGTCTTCCTTCTATTTATTTATTTATTTATTTATTTATTTATTTATTTATAATTGGTGCTTTATAGGTGTATATAAAGGTGGCTTTCACTGTGCTATGCTTTTACAGGTGCATAGCATAATTTTGTCAAATCCATTTCACATTTCCTGCCCTTTCTCTTTTTTCCTTCCTCCTCTCCTACTCAATATTCTTTTACTCACTTATCTTCCCTGTATTCTTATGAGATCTGCTAACTTCCCCTTTCTCCCTTATTTTGCTCTAGCTTCCACATGTGAGAGGAAACATTCTTCCCTTGATTTTCTCAGTCTGGCTTATTTCACTTAGCATGATGTTCTCTAGTTCCATCCATTTACATACTAATTCCACAGTTTAATTCTTTGAGGAGCACTTAGGCTGGTTCCACAACTTGACTACCATGAATTGTGCTACTATAAACATTGATGTGGCTGGATCCCTACAGTGTGCTGATTTTAGATCATTTGGATAAATACCCAGGAGTGGGAAAGCTGAGTCATATGGTGATTCTATTCCTATTTTTTTTTTTAGGAATTTTCAAACTACTTTCCAAAGTAGTTATTCTAATTTGCAGCCCTACCAACGATGTRTGAGTGTAACTTCCCCCCATATCCTCACCAACATTTATTATTTTTTGTATTCTTATGATTAACAATCTGACTGGAGTAAGATGGAATCTCAATGTAGTTTTGATTTGCATTTCCCTGAGGGCTAGGAATGTTGAACATTTTTCATATATTTGTTGGCTATTTGTTACAAAATAATTTTAATAAATGTAAGGCCTTCTTGAAAATTAAGCTTGTTGTTAAGCTTAATGCTATCCATGGAAACTGCAGAAAACCAAACTGTTTTTTGTAGATTGTATTCTGTCCAGTAGGAAATACTGACAACTTTCTAAATAGTATAACTTTCAGTTTAAAAATTGATTAATCACTCAGCTTGGCATAACAGCCCATTTCCTGAAAAAAATGTGTCAATAATGTTGACAAAAATAAAATACAGAATCTGAAAATGACAAAATTTAAAGGGGTGATGTAKTCTACATTTTCCTGGGTCATGATTTCTTTATCAATCTGGTGGAATCTATGATACTTCCTCTTTAAAATACATATGTGTAAAGTATGCATAATAGTAGCATATATAATAAATTACACATAATTTCAGGTGGTCCATCATGGTAGTTAATTGTAGATAATAGTTTGAGGCCAAAATGTTCAAGAGACACAGCTGGTTAGTGAAACAACCAGAACAGGAATTAAAGTCTTTTAATTTTCCAAACCATCATTCTTTCATGATAAGCAGCTGCCTTTKTTCTTTCCCCGTCTTCCTATCTGTGTACTGACATTCACATTGCACTCTCACAAGATTTTGTCCTTATCCCTTTATCTACATGGGAAGAGCCTTCAGCTATAAAGTGCAAGACATACAATTATTATAAAATAAGCATTTATTGAGTTAAGAGGACCTTCAAATGTCTGTCTGAAACCTCATAATATAACCATGTCCCAATGTTACAGGGTTTTTAGGAACTCAGATTTTGATGTCAGATTGATCTAAACATGAATTTGGTCTTTGCCCTTTAGCTGTATATTGCTGGGTCTCACTTGGAAAACCCCATAGTACCAAATATACTTCATAAGAACATTGTGAGGTTAAAGGAAGTAAGTATCTCAAGCAGCATCTGGCACAGTAAATACTCAGAAAGAGGCTATGATTGTCTTTAGGTCATGGTAAACCCTGAATTAGAGAATCAGTTGAGCTTAGAATCTCAGTAATGATTAGTCAATCAGTCTAGGTGATCCAGGAATTATTTATACATTAATCTCATAGATTCAGCCTTTGATTAACCTATTCCAATGATAGCAAATTCACTAGAACTGACTAAAGCATCTCCAAGTTCTTCCTTATTGTTGTGTTGAATCATATGAAATTGCTGCWTGTTGGTCAAAAATATCAAATTAGAAACAGTTTTTAATAAAATAACCAGAATTTTCCTTTCTGTTGCTTCCTTTACATTTTGTTTGATATTTACTTTTTCCTTCCTCTAAATGACARCACTTTAGAAATAATGGAGAGTCAGTGATGAATCCCATAGATCTAGCTGCTGCCTTCACTGCAGTTCACATACTCATCAAGAAGTCAACAAGAAAATAAGCAATTATATATAATTTTCCATCTCAAGGAGTAAGAAGAATGTTTCAAGCAAATGGCTTAGTAAGAAGAATTCCTATAGAATATATCATACATGGAGATTTGAGAATATAGAAAAGCATCATCCTATAGAACTGTGCTCTATCTAATATGACAGCCACCAGTCACACCCAAAATGAGAGTAGTGTCATGTGACTGAGGAAATGAAATTCTAACTCTGACTAATGAGGCTACCAAATCAAATGGACAGAGGCAAGAGACAAGGCTGGAAAATCAGCAGGGTCTATCTAGGTTATAAAGAACTTTGAGAAGCAAGTTAAAGATTGTGGATTTTATCCTAAGTGCCATAGGGAATCTTGGAAGGGTTTTAAGCTCCAGGGAGTTGCATAATCAGATACAAATCTGTATTTAGGAAGATAATTCTGGCTGTCTTGGGGATATGGACAGGAGACAGGTAGAGACATTGATCTTGTCTTTAGGAGTTTGCTCTCAGGGGAGAGATGGGTACAAAAGAGAGAAATGACTAAAGGATATTTCAAAGAAACAAATACATAACCAATCACACCCTGTCACATTCAATACTCATGTATGTATTTATATACCTTGCATSTATTATTTGTTAACAGTAATGACTTGCCTGTAGCAGTGACACATACCTATAATCCCAGCAGTTCAGAAGGCTAAAGCAGGAGGATTGCAAGTTCAAAGCCAGCCTCAGCAAAAGCGAGGTGCTAAGCAACTCAGTGAGACCCTGCCTCTAAATAAAATAYAAAACAGGGCTGGGGATGTGGCTCAGTGGTTGGGCRTCCCTGAGTTCAATCCCCAGTTACATCTTGCCCAAAAAAAAAAAACCCTAATGATTTATAGTTCTTCCTAATTCTTCACAAGACATCTAGACTTTTAGGTATTTTGGGGTGTCCTCAAAGGTCTCTAAGATGACAAGTAWGTCTGTCATCAGAATAACCAGGTAATCCCCCCAGGTCTTTCTCCTCTCTGTATATTTCACTCTGATTTTCTCATTTTTCCGGGGCTACTTTTGGCTATGGCCATGTCACTGATCCCAGTGGTCCYAAAGTCATTAATTCTTAAGGTGACAGAAAGGTACTTTATTCTTTGCAGAAGGAGGAGGAAAACACCCCATGTGAGCCATGTCAGCCAAGTTGCTTGGTTCTTCCTCCCCTCTATCAGAGCAGTTTTCTTTAGCTAGTTCCTTCTGGATTTACTTTCCCCTCTCAACCCCTGTAAGCCCTACCTACCAGGTAAGGCAAAACAAAACAAGGTTCAAAGCAAGTCCTCAGGAACTGGTGATAGTAAGAGGCCATTGGGCCTACCTGAAGAATTTTGTTTTCCCTCTCCAGGATGCATGTCACATTCCCCCCACCACCTCACTGACACAYACCACAGAAAAACACACACATCTATGAATGTATATATTCCTCTTCAATACGTTGACATGTTGACATGTCCGTACAAGGCTGAGTTCTCATCAGGATCAGACAGCATCATTCCTATTCTATGAATGATCCTATAGAAGAAATGTATAAGAAAGTATGCAATCAACAACATCCCAACAGTCAGATATAATGTATATGGAGCTGGAGCAATAACATGTCATAATGGGAAGTGTATGTTCTTTGATGTCAGCCTGATCTGCATTCATATCTCAGCCTGGTCATTTTTACTAACTACAAGGTCTTTAGGCAAATACTTATCTTCTGAACTTCAGTTTTCAATTCGATAACATATTCTTTGGAGAGTTGTAAAGATCAAAAGTTGCATATGTGCACTGGCTGTAGCCATAAGGTGCTAAACAAATGAAAGCTGTGATTACTACATTGGTGTTGGAAGCCTCAGATGCCACAGGTATGGGAAGAGGACACAGAAGTTCAGACTGCCCCACATCTTGCCACACCATGGTGCTTAAGAGCATAGGATCTTATGATACTACAGTCAGGTCTCTTCTGGTATGGATGAGGCCACTAAAGCCAGAAAGAGGAAGTGACTCTATCAGTGTCATTGAGTTCATTAGTGCCAAAGCCAGGCCAAGATTCCAGGTGGGTGTGGAGAGGTTCTGTCCAAAGCTCCTTTCTAAAGGAGGCTCTGCTCTGACCTGCGCCTTTCATTCGGGAGTGACAATCTGTACTCTTTTGCACCTGGGGGTGTCCCTTCCCCTCACCGTGGAAGGGAGAGGGAAGAGCAGGAGGAGGTAGGGTGTGTTTTTGCTGAAGCTCTGGCCCTGACAGTCATCTCCGTCGCCATGGCAACCCTGGCTTGGTTGGGAGGACCTGCTCCTCCGGCGCCCCCTCCCATTCACGCAGCGGACGTGACACGTGCGGCGGGGTCACGTGTTGTTGTTGGGCCGGGAAAGCTGCTTCCGGGTCAATGCAGGACACCAGGCTCCGGCGGCTAGAGTGGGGGACGAGGTGAAGCGGAGCCGGGCCCGGGCCCGCCGGGAGCAAGCCGGAGGCTGAGCGGCGGCGGTGACGGCGGTGGCCGGGAGGGGGGAGGAGAGGCGCAGCCCGAGGAGCCGCCGCAGCAGCTCCCCCGCCTCCCGGGCTGAGGGGTGAGTGAGCCCGGCCCGCCGGCTCCGCCGGGCTCTCGAGGCCGGGGCGCTCCCCTCAGGAGCCGGGGCGYGGAGGGCCACTCCTGGGGGCGCAGTGAGAGGAAGCTCGGGGGGCACTCGGGTCGAGCGGCGTTGCCGGGGCAGCTGCGGGGTGGGAGGCCTGCCCCGGGGCTCGGCGGACGGCCAGGCCTGCTGGGCTCGGGCGGAGCGGGAGGGGCCTGGGCGGGGGGCGGAGGCCGGTCCCAGGTGGGAGGGGACGTGTGCGGAGCCCCCGAGGTCCGGAGAGAATCCTGGCTGCTCAGTGTGCCCCGAGGCCTGAAGCCTGGGGAGATGCCCCTACCTGGTAGGAGACAGACGTGTCTGGGACTGCCGGGGGTCTAGGAAACTTGTCTCTGAACTACTGAATTAAAGAAAAGAAAACCAAATAGAGGACGTGTCCCGAGGGAGGTTTGCTGGGAAAGGGCGGCCATCCCTAGGCTCCTGGTGCACCAGGCCTGACCCTTCCAGGGACTGATAAAAGGATGTGGTAGTTTAACCAGGGCTTTTGGTAGAATATATTTGCCCCAAGTTGGGAGATTCCGAGATTGAGGGGGGGTGGAATAAAGTAGAGGCTGGCAGGAGCAAAACCTGACCTGGGATCTTGCAGGGACTACCGATGTTTGGAGCTTCTTGTTTTGAGAATGGGAATACAGAGTTCTAGGTCCTTTACTAGGAAGACATTCCATAGTATCTTTTCTTGGGACATAGTGATGGCAGAAGTTATAGTTGAAAGTTGGTTGAAAGAGTTGAACTGTTTACAGTCAGTGCAGGAAGGAGGAGCTTTACTCTGAAGGTTGCTAAGCTACAGGGAGCTTGTAGGCACCATCTAGGGCTGTTTGGGAAAGCTGAGAATGCATTCAGTGCCCAGTAAAGACCTAGCAGGGGTTTGTCTCTGTTCTCTTCATGCTGCCATGGAGCTCTTAAATTGGTTTCCACGGATTCATCTTGAGCCAGGAGAGTTTGAATAAGTGCTGAAGACTAAGAAAACACGCAGTCTTTGGGTCCTGAGACATTAGACTGAATATCTGGGGTGGTATCTTTCAAATTTAGTTTGTTTCCTTTAAATWAAAAAAAAAAATTATACCGCACAGTGCATTTTACATTGTGATCTAGTACATATCTACATATGATTTTAAAGTAATTCAGCCTTTACCCTTATTACATGTGCATTCCGGTAATTTCTATTCCATTTTCTTTCATTTAGAAACATACTGACTGAAATACACCAAATTGATTTATGGGTCTCCACTTGCAGATTGAAAAGTGATGTTTATAAGGCACATTTCTTGATTAGTCAGTGTCTCCATATTCTGCGCTTTTAGAGAACAAAGATGATTCCAAGATGAGTTTTGGGGACAGGGGTAGGGCTGCCAGGTATAAATGTTTGCTTCAGTTAGTTAGATGTTTATAACATATAACATATTTGATCCCTGTTTCTTGAAGTATTACAATCATAATATTTGACATATCAGTGTTTCCCAATCATTCAACAAAATTGTGTGTCTGTGCCTCTTAATTTTCTCTGTCCTTTGCTGCATCTGAGAAATATGAGAGGCCTAGTTTCATTTAGCCACTTTGTCTCCTAGTCATAGTTAAGGAAGTTTTATTTCACTCCTATCATTATAAAGATACACTGTTTTGCTTTTTTGTTACTTAAAAACATCTTGAATCTTCTCACTCCAGTAATTGTTATGTTTTATACTTTTTGTTCTATATTTAAATGTATAAAGTTCATGGCTTTAGTATATTTCATAAACTTAGGAATAACTTTGAATCATTTAACTACAAATTGATTTTTTGTTTGTAAAATAGGTTAGACCCTTATGAAAAACAGTATTAATTCATAATAAACATTAATGAGTGTTGGGGAACAAAGTTAGAGATCTTTTCCTTTGAAAAGTTCTCACACAGCCTCTTCTGCATTGTCAAATGATACCTTGCCTAATTTTAATAGGTAAATGTATGGGATATGTATTTGACTAGCTTAATAATGTTACTTTYAGTTGAMRATGAGTTCATATTATTTGGAACCAAAGGCACATTAATCTGGAAAGAATTGCTCACATTAAATTTTATCAGTGGGGACACATTCTTGACTTGATGCCTTATGAAAGCTTTCTATTGTCTTCAAACTTTGTGGGTGATAAAATATATCTTTCTTTTTAACTCTTGACTATGTCTTGGTTGTGGAGGAGAGACTTTATATTGGTATGTATCAAACATTTCAGAAAATTATCTCTTTTAATCAGGTAAATATTTGTTTTAAAATATAGCTTTAAAGAATGTTTTAAAAAGATTGTCTTTTTTGGTAGGTGTTTGGAACATTAAGGAAGATCTCATTGATTTMATTTTCTGGGAATCATGTGTACGTGTCAATAAACAATGTGGAGAACTTATTCTGAGTGATTGTGTGTGTGTGTTTTTTTTTTCATTTGTTCGTTTTGATTTTCAGTTTTCAGTTTTCCTTTTGACTTAGACATACAGCAGGCTCTTTTCCCCTTGTAATTTTTGCTTCCACACTATTGTGGCTTTGGAAATCAGACACTTAATATTTATCAGAATTTTGTGTAAAATGGGATTGTGTTGCTTTGAATGATGTTTTAAATACACATAAAATACTTATTTTCCCCTTAGTGTTTAAACTATAATGACATGTATTTTGGCTATTTAGGCCTAATTATTCATTTCATAATCCTGGGCTATGTTTTAAATAAGTGAGTTCTTGATATATTTTGGACCTATTCTGCAATGTAAGAAAAAGTTCTGAAAAGTAATATGAAATTGACAGTGTTACAATTTGGGTTTAATAGGTGAAGAAATCATTTTATCGGTGACTGTTGCCTTTGTCCTACATGTGTTTAGACATTAAGATTTACCATTACTCCCTTTTTCAGCCTACCCTGTTCTGATTTATGTTTTTTTGCAGATCAGCACAGTAATAGCCCAATAATTCCCATTGTCTGTTATTCTAATGCTACTTGATTTCACATAGCTTCATGAGAGTATTCTTCCAGAGAATTTTGCTGTGATTACTTCATTTTTCTCCTCAAAAGCCTTCCAGTGCCAGCAATACATAAAGCCCATACTGTTTAGGTTGTTGTTGAGGACCCTCTGCAGCTTTTCTCAATTTTTTTCCCTGACATTTCATTTCCAAAAACAGATCCTCTTCCTACCAAGGTCTCTAATCATTATATCTTGCTTGGTATATAACAAAGTGTGTTCCCTTTCTTTGTGAAATCCTGTTTATCCTCATTTCATTAAGATAACCTTCTTCTAAAATAGGTTAGACTCTTATAAAAACAGTATTAATTTATAGTAAACATTAATGAATGTTGGGGAACAAAGTTAGAGACCTTTTCCTTTGAAAAGTTGTCACACAGCCTCTTCTGCATTGTCAAATGGTACCTTGCCTAATATTTAATAAGTAAATGTATAGGATATGTATTTGACTAGTTTAATAATGTTACTTTCAGTTGAAGATGAGTTCATATTATTTGGAACCAAAGGCACATTAATCTGGAAAGAATTGCTCACATTAAATTTTATCAGTGGGGTCACATTCTTGAGGTCTAACCTATTTTAAGTCTTTCTTGATTGTATTGTTTGTGTGCCTTATTTTTACCTCTTTTAGATCATAAATATCTGGAGGTGACAGGGTTCAAATATTCTTGAGGACATCTAGCTTAGGGTCTATTGGAACATAGGCCATAGACCTAGTGAATCAGAATAACTAGACTTAACTAAAAATGCATATCCCCGAGTTCTGATCTGGACTTATAGAACCTTAATCTCTGGTGGCGCCTAGGACTCTATATTTTAGCAAACTGCCCAGGTGACTCTTCTGTTCAATAAAATTTAAAAATCACTGATTAGCATGATGCCTTAAATGATAATAGGTACACACACACTTGATTTTTGAGCAAGTGAAGTTAATGAATTGAGCAATATCATAGTTCAGGRTGGTTTAATTTTAAGGCTTTGAAGTCAGCCTAGACTTGAATCCTGTGACTGTAACCTCACTGTACTTCTATTTTCCAACCTGTAAAACAGGATTAATAGTATCTCTTATGAGGGTGTTGTTGGAATTAATTGAGATGGTACATGCAGAGCAACACAGCACATAACACGCAGTAGGCTCTCAGTAGATTTTTATCTGCTGCTGTTATGATGATGACCACTAGCCTCAGTGTCATCACGGTAATGAGATATGGGTTGCAAGAATAGGTTCTAGGTCAGTGATTGTTAAAAAGCAGATGGTTCCTATGGTTTCCAGAAGTCAGGCTTGCAATGTTTTCTGTTTTGGGTTAGTAGATCATGGGTGTGTGTGCTGTTTAAAGTCATAAAGGTGTTTTTGTCCTTCCTTCCTTCCTTCCTTCCTTTTTTGTTTCTTTTCCTTTTTTGGCATTGGGAATTGAGCCCGGAATCACTTTACCACTGAGCTATATCCCCAGTGCTTTTTTATTTTTTGAGACAGTATTTGGGTAAGTTGTTAGGGCTTCACTAAGTTGCTGACGCTGACTTCAAACTTGTGATCCTCCTGCCTCAGTCTCTCAAGTCTCTGGGATTGTAGGCATGTGCCTTTGCACCTGGCTAGGTGTTTGGTCTTTTTGAGAAAGGTTGGTATTAAATTAGAATGTTATTTTCCCTTAGTTTTACCACTGCTCAAAGAATAAAATGCAAACTTCCAGAGGACATAGGTCCTTACCATCTGGCCTAGCCAGTCCCCTCCAACAGCTCTCCACATCATCTACAGTATGTTTCTATCTTTATCTTGCATTTCTTTCACTTAGTTGTACCTGTATATGTGTTTTCCTCCACTTTTTCATCTAGCAAATTTCCACTGTTGTCCTAAGTCTCAGTTCTACATGTGACTGACCTTCCGTGTTCTCAATATGCTTTGTCTACACTTACAGTGCATTACCTTTGTGTACATTTGTCTCTCAGGAATAGGATTTAGTTGT